AGCAGACCAGGAACAGAACCAGGTGCATCCAGAAGCCGGGTCTATTACGTTTCCCTTCCTACCTATATTACTGCCTGCAACCGCACCCACAATGACATTGCAGTTTCTTGTGCTTAAAGCAACAAAACACTTAATCCTAGGTTTACATATTTATTCAACCCAAACCTGGTTGGTGTATCCATATACCCAACAAAAGTTATTTAACAATGCCAGAACAATGGTAAGCTATGGACATTTCTGTTTTTCTTGCAGACCTCCACCATCTAAAAAAATGAAGCTTTTTGGATACAAAGAAGATCCATTTGTTTTTCTTCCCGAAGATGATCCTCTGTTTCCTCCTATTCAGTAAGATGTATTTTTTTTTATTTTCTGTATAATAGTTTGCTTACTAAATTCTAGAGCTTATGAATAGCTTTTAACATATTGAAGAAAATAAAGTGGAATGGAACATAAAATATTTGTATATGAAGTGTCTTAATTGGGTGATGTTGGGCCAGTCAAACCTACCTCACAAGATGGTTGTTGGAAAAAAATAGGAAGGAGTACTGTATATGACTTCTTGAACTCCTTGAATGAAAGCCAGATAGAAATCTAATAAATAAGTAGATAGATAGTCTGTTGGAAACTGAAAGTAAATTCTAAAGATACATGGTGAGGGGATATGGTTGACATCTAAAGTTGGCTTGATTGTCTTAATATATATTAAATCAAAATCTCTCAATAGTCCTACTGTTTTTAATTATTTCATATAAGATCCAGCCTTTTGACTCCTAGGATTCCTAGGAGGATTTTTTAAAAAAATAAACAGAACATCAATAAAACATTGAAAGTTTTAAAAAAACCATAATAAAGGACAAATATACAAATGAAATGCCATAAACCCATATTTTTAAAATATATAATTTGTGCTTTCAAAATCCTAAGTGATGATACAAAATTTAAAACATTTAAGTCAATATTTCTGAAAGGATTTTTTTTTTAAATCATAGCTCTGTATCCAGAGATGCCTTTCTGCTAATAAAAAAGCATCATTTGTTCTAAGAAAAGGCATGGAGAATATGTATCAGATAAGAGCTTCTACTTGGACAAATCTGTTGTTAGATTTCTCTAGCCAGCAAAAGTACCCTTTCTCTAGTGCATTCCATGTATGTAAGACTGCAACATCTGTTACGTAGCTTTCATTATGATTTGGTCCCCATATTTTTACACTGTATTGTAACCTCACCTCACCTCCAGTTTTTGTGGTACCGTTTTCATATAATAGGATGCTATACTTCATGTTCACTGAATCCAGATAATATGATTTTGAGAAGAAAGAAAATGAGTTCCAATAAAATAGAATGTATTTTAGAGCTTATTCTAAATATACTGCATTTACTCATTCAAGTACAGTTGAGTAAGTTCCAGTAAAATATTTTCTGAGGAAATAAAACACCCTACAGAATTGTCTGTGTTGGGTAAAATTGCAATAGGATGATTGTATTTAATACTTGTAAATTATTTTCAGGAACTTTTATGCACTGGATCCTTCATTCCCTAAAATGAATTTGTTAACTCGTACTCAAGAAGGAAAGAAAAGACAGGTGTATATGGTTTCCAAGGAGATACGAGATGTACTGTTAAACAACAGTGAAAAGCTAAAGGTTTGATTTGTATTTATGTTTTCAGTAAAAATCATTATTCAAAATGCTATTAAGAGAAGTTGAGAATCTTCTTTTGAAAATTGATGTCTTTTGTTACAACTTGATTCAAATGGTGCACTTTTGCTATTAATTTTAGTGCAGTTGTGTAGAAAGGTTTGTCTCAAAATTTGGATTAATCAGTGCCATTGGTTGCACTGTTACCAACAATTTTGATTTTTCGTCTACTCTACTGCTGATAGTCCCAGATAGATTCTACATAAAGAGGTATAGTATCACATTATATAAAGGAAGAAAATGTTATCCTGTGTACGAATGAAAGAAACCAACAGGGCTGCCATTACAGCTTTTTGCCACCTTGCTAAATCAGTCTTCTCTTTACTCATTTCAAGTTGTAATTGGCCCTTTAAGAAGATGCTGCTTGCTCCCAGCAATTCACTTCCAGACAGGACTTGCCAATGAGCAAAGTTATCAAGGAAGAAATAATTAGCATCTGGTAAAGAAACTGTTCTCATCAGGATTACCACAAGTCATCTTTTTGTTCCTAGCAATATGCCATTTGTCTGGATTTTGATTGCTTAGTGTATAATTATTCCAGTTGTTCTTTGGGACTATCATTTCTATTTGCTAATTTTTTAAAGACTGATTCAAGTTTTTTATGTCTAATGACAAATTCTTCTTTAAATTCTTGTCAGAAAGACTTTGTTGCATTTTTTTTTTTTACCATCTTCTGGGAATAGACTGTTCCCAGGAAAACACGGCACTGATGATATTATTGATTCAAAGTCCTGATGCAGTTCCTCAGAAATGTTTCTGAATGCCATTATAAGTTGCTTGTCTTGTTATGTCTCCAATATCAAAAACAGTTTTCTTACATTCCCCAAAATGCATTTATTTTTTAAAATTAATTTCAAAGACTTTATTCCAAATACAATATTCCAATGTTTTCAGAGCTCTTAATTCATTTAAAATTTTAAAGCTAAAAGTTTGTCTTGCTTTCTGCTGTTTATTTTCAATTTTTAAAAGTTATAAAGATACTTCTTTTTCTCATGTTAATGATTTAAGATACTCACCCATTGCTTTCAGTCTTGGCATTTTGAAGGTGGTGAACTTCTTTAAAGCATAATAGAACATTTTCCAAAGTGCTTAGGAAGGGAAGTGCAAACTTGATGTCTTTTGGAAGGTTTTGTATTGGAGCTGGGGCAAATACAGGAATTTTCCTTCGCTCCTAGTTCTTTTACTCTCTAGAGACCACTACTTTTCAGCCTCCTAGTGAGAAACAAATTCATGGCACATAGTTTGGGGGATCTTTCATCCTCTCTTTCTCCAGGGAGGATAGAAGGAGTCAATCTGCTTGTTGGCTCCCTGTTCTTAGCTGCAGACATTGGTTCTGCTTTTCCCAGAGCCATCTTCAGTCCACCATTCTTCTCATGAAGATAACTCTGCAAGGCACTGCTTGCCCCTCCTAAAATAAATCAAAAATATTTGAAGGTACAGGAGACAATTATCTCTATGTCTGGGATAGAGCTCTTACAGGATTAAAATTTCTGCAAAATCTTAGATCAATAAGAGTATTTGGCTCAGGGGAGATTCCCCATTATTACAGTATTTAAATCTGCATCTCATAGTCTTTAATTCTTGACAGTAACTGTTGCAATCATTTTTGACCTTGAATTCATGCAACTACTGCAGCATTGAATCTGGCATACAGTACTTTAATTCATTTGCTCAATTATTTTTCTTTTCAAACCATTCTAGTGGAACCATCCTTGAATTTGTGAACTGTTTGGCAAATCTTAGCTTTTTTTTATTTTTGGGCAGTCTTTCAGGCAGATGTTGCAACTGCCATTTTATATGAATTGACAAAGAAAAACTTATGTTTAAGGGAGATTTAATTGCCTGTCCACAAAGAATAACAAGTTGGATTATAGATACCAGTCAACTAACAAAGCCCAAGTTTTCCATGCAGCATATTGTGGGATGATTTCTTAAGGGCAGATGTAATACCAGCAGCAGTATATCACTCCTTGATATTTGTTGATAGACCGTTTGATCCCAAAGGCCACAATATTCAAAATTATTCAGTAAGACTAGTACTATTTGGATGCTGTTTTTGAAGACGAGGTCCCTTCTTGTGTACTACAGTGACATATTCGCTCCACCTCTGATGAGTACAGTTTACAAATCATCTCTATGTGTGATTTATAGAGATTACCGCCCCCAAAAAAGACTGTGTAATTTATCTGTAATTGTGATTCCTTATATAAATGCACAGAAGATCACTCAATCTTCTTTTTATCCCAAAACTTTGTCTACCTTGAGGTTTTATTTTGAGGCATTATACCTTTCTCTGTTTATTTCAATATTTATTATGTTCAATATATATTGAATATAATATTGAATACATATTGAAAATAATCCTTATGTGATTAATGGAACTCTATTAAATGCCTGTTCTATCTCATATCTCACTATCAATATATATTGGTATATTGTTCCACCGTTGTTGGTGCTGAGTTCTGCCAAACTGCTTCAAATTACTAATTGGTATTAGAATGCTTAAGTATGTTGAAATAACCTACTTTTTAAAACCTCATGTAGGTTATTAACACAGGAATTAAAGTGTGGTGCCGCAATAATGATGGAGATGGTTGTGCCTTCAGATTAGCACAAGAGGTAAGAATGAATGCATTATTATTACATTTTATTTTTCTATAATACTCCTGGAAACACCAACAACAACTTGCAATATTTAGATTTGTCCTGTGTTATTACTGCATATGCTTTTATATTCACTTCATTACATTATGTTTGTTTTTACTATTACTCACTTTATTGGTACTTCACCCTTTCGAAGAAACCTAGGGCAACATAACACATGATAGTTGGCAGATACCTTTCTTTTTCTCACACATGAAAGAGCCTTGGAGTTTAACAATTTAAAGTAAAACTTAAAAGTATTCAAGGTAGGTATAATAATCATTCACAGTGTCACAAATAGGAGACCTATTATCATGCTTACTGATGAAGTTTTATTTAGCAGCTTCAAACTGCTAGGTTTTTTTTTGAAGTTACATTGTAATAAATTAATAGTTGAGACAAAAGTACTTATCTATAAACAAAAATGGAATAGGCTTAAGATCTAAAGATTTAAAAATGGCAGTGTTCATTCATTCATTCATTCAATTTATTATTATATCTTTTGTGTCAAACAACAATCCTGTGGGGTAAGTTAGGTAGAGGAAAAAATGACTGGCTGAAAGTTCCTCAGTGAGCTCATATGGATGGACCTAAACTATTATCACTACAATGCTAGTTCATTTCCTTAACCACTACACCATAGTACGTTAGAAACCATCAAAAGAATATTTCACTTCCCTGGAACAGTACCTTGAAATAAATAGAAGAGAACTTCATAATAAGATTTCCTGTTCTTTTATTTCATTTAGGGAATTTATTTCAGCATTAACAGTTTTGTGCTATACAATGGTGTAAAATTTGCGTAGATTTGTAGTAGAGTTGAATATCTCTGTTAACAGTGCTTATGTCCATCCATGCATATGGAAATATTGTTTGGAAGTGCTCTGTTTAGACGGACTGAAGTTTAAGTGGCACTGGAGAATATTGCTTCTTTCATCACAAAGAAATTGTAATTGGTTTACAATCACAATTGAGTCCGAAATTTCTGTTGCTCAGCAAGACTTTGGGTTAAATGAATTTGCATCATTTTGTGACCTTTCTTGCCATAGTTGTTAAGTGAATCACTGCAGTTGTTAAGTTAGTAACATGGTTGTTAACTGAATTTGGCTTCCCTATTGACGTTACTTGTGAAAGATTGCAAAAGGTGGTCACATGACCCTGGGATGCTGCAACAGTCATAAATATAATTCAGTTGCTAAGCTGTTTAATTTTCAATTAATTTTAATTGGGAATACCATGCCTATATTTTTATTGGGGTAGTAGGATTGTTGGAATAGAATGGCAATCTCTTGAAGTTTCTATGTTAGATTTTTTTTAAAGTATCCTCAGTGTTTATGGCATTAGGAGCCGCTGTGGCGCAGTGGTTAGAGTGCAGTACTGCAAGCTACTTCTGCAGCCAGCTGCCTACAATTTGGCAGTTCAAATCCTACCAGTATGGTTAGAAGACTGTACTGTTGATGTAGTCTATTAACTGACTGTATATTTTGTTTCGTACTATTGTATTACACAGCCAGAAAGTGTTGAAAGTCCCAGTCTCTTATTATTATATTCCATTCAGTTGCTGAAAATCTTTCCTTAAAAATAGATTTCTGTTTTGAATTTTGAAAGAAATGGCTGCATTTTAAAAACTAAGTCTTTCATTTCCAGGGCATATATACATTGCACCCTTTCATCAGTGCCAGAACTATTAAGGCTGGCATAGAAGATATTAAAATTTTGTTAACTGAAGAAAATCCATTCTTAAGTAGGTTCAGTAATGAATCACGCAGTCAACTGAATGGAATGGGTAAGTGAGCATTCTTGCTAACTAGTACCAGAAGTTATTTGAGATTCAAAATTTGGTTTACATTGTTTATTTAGTTTTAGAGAAGTTGATTTGTAGCTGGTTATCTTTTTATATTAATTGTGAATGCTGATGCCCATTCATCAGACGGTAACTCTTAAACCTCTCTGGTATCCTTTTTGCTAACTTTACTTTTCGTGTTTTCACTTGGCCTAAATGACTTGTAGATTGTAGCCATCCATTATTTTTATTTTCTAAGAATGCCTCAGAGACTGATGTCGGGCCCCAACTAACTTTGGGGACTAAAGATAACCCGGTAATCAAGTTCATTGCGTAAATGAGAGCTTGTGAAATTTAGAGATTCCTCTATCTGATGAAGATCACTATCCCAACATTTTTAATACCAGCTCAGGAATATTCATAATTTCCTAACATCTGCTTTGATGGTAGTGTTCAGCAAACTGTATGGAGAATAACTGTGGATCATAGGTTGGATCGCTATGGGTTAATGTCATTTGTATTTACAATAATCTGTTGCTTTAAAACATTACACTCTCTTTGTTTCAGCTATGGGGAGCATTGTCTTGAAATATGAACCAGACCAAAGGTAAGTGACCTCTGTGTTCCGTTTATGCAAATTTGTGTGTGGATGTACAGATCCTTTTGAATAGAAACTGAACAGAAATCATAAAAGGATTAATTGAATACTTTCAAGAAACCCTAATTTATAGGATCCTAGAACAAACAAGTCATTAGTATTGTTTAAAATTACTAATGAATCATTTGAAGAAAGTAAAACTGAAGTGTCAACAGAGTATGCATTTGTCTATTTGTAGCAAACAAGATACCCATCAGTGCTCTGTTTTGCTGTGTGGTTGGCTTGGCAAGACATCCCTTCGTGCCTTCGTGCCCAAGAATGAGCGATTGCATTACCTGAGAATGATGGGACTTGAGGTATTCAAAGCAAAAAGGAAAGAAGAAAATTTAGAAGGTCAGTTGGAAGCAGCATCTTTAGATACTTCAGGGCAAGTGCTAGAAGAAATTGAATTTGAATGTAAAACGAAAAACATCAATCAATTACCAACAATAAGAGAAGATGAATTGAATGGACAGCATGAAAAAATATTGGAAGCTGGCACAGTAGAAAACCTTTCTTCTACTGACAAAGATGAAAATACCAAAAATATGCAAAGCAAAAGTAATGTTGACATTATGGAAAAAAAAGACTAAAAGTCCGTCAGTTTGCATTGACTAATGTGCATTTTTTATAATTATGTACTGCAAAGCATCTAAAAATAATTTTAATAAAGAAAATATTTCAGTTGAGAAATACGGTACACAATTATTTTATAAGTTTTTTCCCAATCTTTTTAGTATAAATAGTTTTAACCAAATGAACAACATATTGCAATCATTTCAGTTAATTTGTTTCTATCAGTGGATTTTGAATCACTAAAATGATATTTGTCATTTTAGATTTATTGATACATTAATATAATTTATAAATATGATTATGATTTTCTTCTGTAATTTGTAATATATTTCTTTGGGAGAGAATTTTATCTTTCATACACTCTTAGTAATTATTATTGTTCCTCTGAATTCATGCAATAAAAATGAACTAATGTAAGTATACAGTAGCCTAGATTCAAGCTGTGTAATTATAACTCCTAAAATTCAGTTTCCATTCAAAATGTATGTTAGTTTTATACCATTTTCTTTTCCCCAAATCTGGATTTTACACCTGACAATTGGTTTTAGATTGGGATTTGGAGAAACGTCTGAAAAATTGATGTCACTATATTCGTTCAAATTTTGTGCCAATTTTTTTTATGATTTGTTCCACTAACTTTGGGTTGCCAGGATAGGTTATACAGCTTATATTAAAATTACATGTTTCTGTTTACTCAAATTCATGTTAAGGTTTTTGTACTAGTTTTGTATCACTTCATGCTATGATTGCCTGGATTTTGTACCACCACAATTAAACGTCTCAGTTCAGAGGATATACTTAAAACTATCAATCTTGCTGTATTCACCCAAAACCTGAGCCAGAGTTTAGTATTGCATTGCCCCATCCAATACAGTATGAGTTTTAGCTCATACAGGAAAATACTTCTGTTTTAGCCACAATAATGATCAGTCTGATAGTCAGTATTTTTATCCCTTTTTATATTAGTACGGCTGTACTATCTTATTTTTCATGTTCTTGTGATTTCTGAGATTTAAGGGTTCCTTCCCCCTCAACCCCTCCAGAACTTGAATTATATCATTTCTTGAACAATTTTGGTCATTAAATGAAACAACATTACCAGACACATTTTCTAAATCCATTCCTTCCAGATTGGACTTCTCGAATATTGCTAATGGAAGTAGCTGTTTAAAGTACATTCCAAATAATTATGTCACTTAACATTGATGTTCTAGACATTTAGGTTTTAATTGATGACTGTCATCAATTCTTTGTGTGTCTTCATTTGAATGGAGAACTATTTACACATTTATCCTCAACCACAACAAAATTGCCAGTAAGTAAATTATTATAAATAAGTGCTATTTACACTGCATCAAATTGTTTCTATAACTGGTGCTAAGCTTTTGTGGGAATGTAGATAAATCAAACACAAAAGTGGGTTTGGTAAAAAAAAAAATACAAATGAAATGTTGGTGATTATTTGGGGTCAGGCCATGTTATTTTTGAGGTATTCTGTAGCTCATCATGAGGACTTCACAGTTGAATGAATGTGGATGGGTGTGTGTGGTGTGTATGCCTTTGTGTGTGAGAGAGAAAGAGCAAATGAACTGGTAAAGTTTTGCTATTATTTTAAATTTACTGGGTCTCCATGTATTCCAAAGAACCGGTTGTGCCTCAATGTTTGGTGGAAAGTGATTTCAGTGTGACTATTGACCAGGGCTGTGAATGAGAGACCATAAGCCAAACCTGGGACCAGGGCTGGTATTCACCAGGTTCTGACCAGTTCTGGAGAACCAGTAGTGGGAATGTTGAATAGTTTGGAGAACCAGCAAATTCCACCTCTGACTGGAGATTTTATAGTATCCTTCCCTTGCCATGCCCACCAGGCCACGCCCACAGAACTGGTAGTTGACAAATTTGAATCCCACCACTGCCTGTGACCATGTATAACACTGCCCCAAGGTTTTTGCGGCTATCCATCCCAGAATGCCCCAAACATCAAGAGACTGTCAACGCCTTAATTAATTCATTGTTTATTCTTTCATGAGGATGAGCGGGGAGGCTCGGGCAGAAATTAGCCATGAGAAAAATGGAGACATCAGAGAAGTGGTTATGATTCTGGAGTGCAGGGATGTCAAACTCGCAGTGTCACAGTGGCATGACATGACGTATTGTGATTTCCCCTTCGCTAAATGGTATGGGCATGGCCAGTGCATGACGCATCCAGCCCGCAGGCCACGAGTTTGACAACCTTACTCTAGTGGGTAAAATCCAGTATCCTGATAAAACCCATCAATATTTATACTAACTTGTTTAAATTGGTAGAGTAATTTAACACTTTTGCATCAACAAAAAGATATGTAATATTTTTCATAAAACTGCTTTCTTTCTGTTGATTTTTATTTACAAAAAGGGAACCAAACTAATTTGCTATAGCAAAGCAAACAAAAGTAAATATAAAATAAAATCTAAGGCTGGAATTTTTATTATGACAGATTTTTTTTGGCCTACAGCCCACTTGTAGCATACGATTTCATGTTTTCCATAAAAAGAAGGTAGGGTAAAATAATGAAAACGTAATTTATATCGTCTATCTGCCCAACAGTGAATAGATGAATCAGAGATCTGGATATAATTTAAAAATGACAAGCCAGTGTTCTTGTAAATTCAGTTTACAAATTAAAAGAGTTTTTGTAATCTAGGGCTACTCTAAAAACTAATAATTGGAAAGCCTTAGCATGATTACAAATTCTATTTCTAGCTAGTCTTCTCTTGGAAATAAAATGTGGGATTTTTCAGAAAGATGTTTCATCTATACAAACAACTTTAGGGATTTTTATTTTTTTAAACCATTCTTGATTTCAAGTATTATATATTAGAACAGCAGAGGGCAGCACAACACAAATATATATATATATGT